TTTTAATTATTATATAAATGAACATGTTATAAATTTTTTAGTAATATAAAGTAATTGTATTAATTTTATGTATTTATCTTACACGTCTTTGATTTTTTATAAAAAAAATAAAAAATAAAAAGTCAAAGCTCTGACCCCAATTTTTTTCCATTCAACGTGCCAGCTTCAACGCATCACCTTCCTCATCTGGTTTTGTATTTATATCCCTACTCCGTCTTCTCTTCTTCCAAACGGCCAAAAATGGCATCTTGCATCCTCTTCCTTCTTCCCCTCATCTTCTTCTCCTCCCTTTCCTCCGCCGCCGGACCACACGCCCTCGTCGCCCCTCTCACCAAAGACTCCCGAACCCTTCAATACCTCACCCGCATCAACCAGCGCACTCCTTCCATCACCCTCACCCTCGCCGTCGACCTCGGCGGTCGCTACCTCTGGGTTGACTGCGACTCCAGCTATATCTCCTCCACCTACCGCCCCGCTCGCTGCCACTCCTCCCTCTGCTCCCTCGCCGGCTCAGACTCCTGCGGCGACTGCTTCTCCTCCCCGCGCCCCGGCTGCAACAACAACACCTGCGGCGTCTTCCCTGAAAACCCCTTCATCCGAACCAGCACCTCCGGCGAGCTCGCAGTCGACGCTCTCGCCCTCCGCTCCACGGACGGCTCCACTCCTTCCACCCCCGTCTCCGACCCCGCCTTCCTCTTCTCCTGCGCCCCCCGTTTTCTCACCCGCGGCCTGGCCGTCGGCGCAGTCGGCATCGCCGGTCTCGGCCGCACCCGCGTCGCACCTCCCACCCAACTCGCAGCAAAATTCAGCTTCCGCCGCCGCTTCGCTCTCTGCCTCCCTTCCACCCCGCGCGCCTCCGGCGCTCTCTTCTTCGGCCCCGGCCCCTATAACTTCCTCCCAGGCATCGACGCCTCTCAATCCCTCCTCTACACTCCTCTCCTCACCAACCCCGTCAGCACTGCTGGAACGTACAGCCCGGGGGAACCTTCCTACGAATATTTCATCGGCGTCACCGCCATCAAAGTCGGCGACACCGTGTTGCCGTTAAACAAGACGCTGCTGACCATCAATAAGAAGACCGGATACGGTGGAACGAAGATAAGCACGGCGGTGCCGTACACGACGCTCGAGACGAGCATATACAAGTCATTGACTTCGGCGTTTGCGGCGGCGCTGGCGAACGTGACGAGGGTGGCGGCGGTGTCCCCGTTCAAGCTCTGTTACGACGCGAAGGGTTTGGGGAGCACGAGGGTGGGCCCGGGGGTGCCGGCGGTGGACCTCGTGCTGCAAAGCGAGGCGGTGTTTTGGAGCATCTTCGGCGCGAATTCGATGGTGGAGGCGAGGGACGGAGTGCTCTGCTTCGCGTTTGTGGACGGAGGGAGGACGCCGAGAACGTCGATTGTGATCGGCGGGTTTCAGTTGGAGGACAATTTGGTGGAGTTCGATTTGGACTATTCGCGGGTTGGGTTTAGCGCCTCGTTGCTGTTCCGGCGGACCACTTGCTCCAACTTTAACTTTACCTCCATCGCCTGATGAATGGACGGATAATGGATTTATTTCTGATGCTTTTTTATTTAATAAAAATAAGCTGTGGTCCTTTTTTTTTTTTTTTTTTTAATAATAAGAATGTTATGTGAAATGGTGCGATTAATTTATTATATTTGAATTTTCTGTTGACAGTAATTTACCATTTTCTATTCATTTATTATATCTATCTTTTCATTAAAGAACAACAACAAATATTTATCACAGTATATGGGGTTGACTACATAATCTTTTTTCTCATTGTGTCTTATTAAGAATCGAATTATCATCTAAGGGTTTGTTTGTGATGGCTTTCTTACTGTTTTTTAAAACAATTTTTTAGTACCAAAATTAAATTTTTTTACTAAAAAGCTGCTTTAAAAAGCAGTAAGAAAGCCATCCCAAACGATTCCTAAATCTAATAAAGAAAATTCATTTATGATATTATCTAATTAAGTCTTATATCTCTCCACTCATTAAAGAAAAATAAATATAATAATAAAAGACTATTACTACTCTTTCATTCCTCAAATTTTGCCTCTTATGTCTGGACTTATCTCGTGGCATGATATAACATTACAGTTATTTGTACCATTATATGTTTCGTTGCCTTGAACCCTGCAAATAATCATAGTTGGAGAAATTATTCTGTGCAAACGTATCTCTATGTCAGGAGGCAAATCAGAGCGTGACACATCACCCGGTACAGAACGGGTACACAACTGCAGTGCACAGCAAGGAAGTGACATGTCACACTTTGATTTGCCTTCGGATGACATCTGGTGTTCGCATAGAATAATTCATTTTGTTCTCGATGTCCACGCAGTGCCACCATTTCTTGTATTCACAACTTAACTGATTACTCCACATTTCTCAGATCACTGGAACCATCGTGTAGTAAACAAAACATAGGAGACAACTTAGCGAGAAAGATAAGAATCATACCTCTCTTGTTTTACGCCTGCTACTTCTTTGATCTAACATGGAATACAAAAAAATGTATTATTTTCTAAGATCATTATATCTTTGATGGGATAAGAGTTCGACTTCTCTCACAAAAGAAAGATGCACACTTGAAGGCCCCAAGCAGCTAAAAAATGAAGATAACTTCTCCATAAAATTATTTCATTTCAAAATAAAAAATTATAAAATATTTCAACTCATATTTATAAGTATTATAAGACTCATAGGCAACTACTTTTTGAGGGAAATGGGGGATGGTTTGCCATTAATAAGAAAGAGTTTTAAACACCTATTTTTAATAAATCATCCTTGCCTAATCATATCATGGATTGTCATATAAGTTTCTCAATGAAAAATAAAATATAAATTACATTTATTAATACTATGGGTTCTTTATTAGGCTTTTGATCGGGCTCTTATAGTTTGATATTTTCTTTGATATTTTTCTTATGCTTTAGTATTAGTTTTTATGATTAGGCTTTTACTTTGATTTTCGTCCATATGATGCGCTACATTAACATGTGTAATAAATTGTTCAAAAATAAAAAAAAATAATAAATAAAAACAAGTTTGATAAATTTGATAAATATGATTATCAAATTTAATCAAACATTAATATCATAAGAAGTACAAAATCATTCACATTCATCTTGATCTACTCATGTTTCTTTAGAGGAGGAGCCCATGGCAGCTAATTTGATTCATTGGACGTTATGACCTATGGTCTTTTAACATTGGTTAATTGAGATTCCTGGTATCCTTGAGATGATAGAATCACGAGATTTTGATCGGGTCTAACTTTATTATACCCCACAAATACCTCTCATTAATTTAAATAAATCTCATAGTGTTAAACTTAAATTTAAAACTATCCTAAAATCTCATAGTGATATTGCTCGCACGCGAGTGGGAGGAGTGATTAATTATGAGGGCTAGCTTGTGCTCATAGAAAGTTTATACCCAAGATCTAAACAAACCCTAATATAAATACGAGGGGAAATTAGGTTAAAATAAAATTAATCTACCTCATGAAGAATGAAATCATAATTTAGACACTGGTGGTTTGTTGTATTTTTCTAAGCAAACATTGTGTAGGCTTCTAAGGAAAAAATTGTTAGTTATTTTCAACAATTTTTTTTGCAATAATGATGATTTTTATTTAAAAAAAAGCAATTATAATGATAGTATTTTATGAAGAATAAGCATCTTTGATATTTCCAATATTCTTTTTGTAATATATATGTTTTTATAGAACCATTCTAAATATATGTATTTACTTTATTTTGGTTTTATATATATATATATATATATATATAATGAGCAAATAAAGCACAAATAACATAACGAACATAGGCAAATGTGATAGAGATATGAACCTCCAACCATGGGGCTTGCCTCTTTCATTGATAGGCCACCCTAATCCATAACTTCAAGGAAATATATAGGGTTCATAAGTGAACCAATGTATTCGATGAATACGTCGAAGCCAACTCGATTAATATTTGTTCATTTTAGTAATTAAATAAATTTGAACTATTTTTAAGAAAATAAAGGCTAAATAAATAAAATTTAAAATATCCAACTTATTTAATTATATTCACGAACTAGTTTGTTTACGACAATTGTTGAGACAATAACAACAGCATAAAGCCTTTATCCCACTATGTAGGGTTGGCTACATGAATTATTTTTCTCCATTGTGTCTTGTTACAAGTCAAAATCTCATTTAAATATAATAAAAAAGGACATTTCTAATGTTTTATAACCAAGTCTTTTTAGGTCTATTTCCACCTCTCTTAACATAGGCCAAATATAATACATCTACTCTCCTAATCGGGTCAATAAAATGGCTGATGTTTAATGTGACCAAATCATCTAAGGAAACTCTCTCTAATCTAATATGCCACTGGAGCTGCTACAACCTTTTCACATATATGCTCATTTTATATTCTATCTCTAAGAATAAAGCAACTCATCCACCTAAGCATCCCGATCTCTGCAACACTTAACTTAGTTGTATTCTTCTCTTTTAAAGGCCATCATTTTGCGCTATATATATTGCAGGTCTCACCACCATATTATAAATTTTTTCTATACGTTTGAGGGGTCCTTCTCTATCACACAACAGGCCTGATGCATTTCTCCACTTCAACCATCCAACTTGAATTCTATTAATAATATCCCCATCTATTTCACTATCATTTTGAATAATAGACATGAGATATTTAAAACGTATACTCTTATTAATCACTTGATAACCCAAAGTTACAATCCCCTTATTAGATCTATTACTACTAAAATTATACTGTAAATATTCAATTTTAGATATACTCAAACAAAAGCCGTTAGACTCTAAGGTTGACCTTCATAATCCAGGTTTACCTTTAACCCCCTCTCTATTCTTATCCACAAGAAAAATATCATCAGTAAAAATCATTCATCATGGTACATCCTCCTGCAAAAATCTAATAAAAACATCCATGATTAAAGCAATAAGATAAGTTCTTAAAGTTAATCCTTGATATAATCCAACTAAAATAGGAAAATATTTCGTCCAACCTCCTTATATTTGAACACAAATAAGAGTTCATGCATATATATCCTTAATGATTTGAGTGTAAGCATTATTAACCATTTAACCCCTTTCTTTTCTAAAACTCTCCATAACACTTCTCTTAGAACTTTATCATAAGCTTTCTCAAAATCAATAAATATCATATGTAGATCCACTTTAATTGCCATATACTTCTCCATCAAACCACTCAATAAATGTATAGCTTCAATATTAAATCTACCTCACATGAATCCAAAATAATTTTGAGAAACATTAGTAACACATCATAACCTGTGCTCAATAACTCTCTCCAAAAATTTTAAAGTATGACACATTAACTTAATTCCGTTATAATTTGCACACTTTTGTGATTCATCTTTATTCTTAAAAGTAGGAATTAACACACTCATTCTCCACTCATCTGACATCTTTTTAGTCTTCAAAGTAATATTGAAAGGTTTCATAAGCAAACAATTTTTTTATCTCCTAAGCATTATCTTAAAGCCTCTATAACTTCAGTTTTACTTAAACGCCTCTATAACTTCAATTTTACTTATATGCTGATAAAAATAAAAATCTTATTTTCATTGAGGGTGATAAAGTCACTAAAGGCAATCATGTTCTCATAATCTTCATTGAAAATCTTATCAAAATATCTCATTCATATTTGTTGAATATCCTATTCTAATAATAACACTTTTGATCTTCATCCTTAATGCATTTCACTTGAATTTAATTCTTTTTTCTCATATCTTATTGTTTGGCTAACTTATACATACATCTTGCACCACCCTTCTTAGTATTTAATATATTATATAAATCATTAACAACTAAATTATTTACATCACATATTGCTTCTTAGACTTGTTAATGACCTCTTTATATCTTTCCTAATTTTTTGAGTATTTACATATAAATAAATTTTTATAACAAAACTTTTTTTTTAATCCTTTTTTTTTTTGCCCATTTTGATTGCACCACCAACAATTTTTTATTAGTAAGAGCTTTTTACTTTTGACACTCCAAACACATCTTTTGCAACATTCTTAATATTATTAACTATTTTTTTTCACATAACATTAATTAGTTTCCTCATGTACAGTCAGAATATTAAGATCTTAAATCTTACTCTTAATTTTTTTTATTGTTATAGTCCAAAAAATAACTTATTTGTAGTTTATGAAGACAATCAACCTATATCCACTATAAAGTCTATAGTGATAATATTTTTTGAATTATGATGGGATTTGTGAACTTAAAATTACTAGTAGTGTTGGTGGTTTTCATATCTATTGTGTTCCATCATTTGAGATAAATAAATAAATATTGTGTCAGTTTCAAGGAATTAGGCAAAAATTGACTAATTTTTCTTTAGAAAAAATTGTAAGATATTAGTAAGTAATTTTTTGTGCCAAAAAATTCGCCTCTAAATTTTTGTATATCGAGCAACCCAATGGCTAAGTTTGTTTTCATATAATATATGTTATTTAATTTTAGATATGCTAACTAAAATTTAATCGAATTGATAGTTAGTGGTGTTAATGCCAAAAAAATTACTAGAAAAATTAGTTATCAAAATTCTTTAGTGGCTTGTTTGGTAATTTGAATGAATCACATAAATTATTTAGAAAAATGTGGTTAGTGGTAGTTTAAAAACTAATTAGAAATATTTGTAGTGGTGATGCTATGCATTTTGAATAATTTTGATTAAAAATATTAATTTGAATGATTCATGGTCGCCTCCTATACATGTTGACCTAATTAAAAGTGTTGACGCTTAAGAATGTCAATATGACGGGTTCTTAAATGATGTGATTTACATGAGTTTCAGTTATAGACTAGAGGTTAATACATGGTCAATTAGGGCTTCATTGAGTTTGATCGTAGTTGACATGAGTTAAGAAGGGTCAATTACTTTTTATCGATGTCTCTTTCAAGCGATTTTGCATCATTTTAACGTCGCAAAGGGTTCATTGGCATGCCTATCAACTTATGTATGATTATAATTGAGTTTGAGAGAGTCAGTGAAGGCCTCTTTTTAAGTTTGGCTATTTTGTGTGATTTTAGAAATCCTAATAACTCATTTGAATGATGAGTTGGATTGGAGTGGAGGTCAAAAGTAAACACAAAAAATGAAGTCTCAACAAGCTTACGATCCAAGCCAATCTAAGCTTCAACTTGAACTTGTTTAATATACAAGCTCCAGTACAGGCTCGAGCTTGAACCCATGGCTCAATAAGCTCAACTTGTGAGCTCGTTAAAGGTTCGAACTTGAGTCACTTACACCCCTCATCGAGAGCATATACCAACTAATTGACATGTAAAATATTAATTCTTTAGAAGTTTACTTAATCTAACCGAATGGGCTATAACTCTATAATCACTCACTTAGAACCTCTTAATTATCTGTATTATTGTTTGACTCAATGCTAAACATGATGAACCCTATAAACCTATTGCAAGAGAAGGCTTGACACACCCAATTCTAAGTGCCTCACTACTTAGCTCAACCAAGAAATTTGATTTGCAACAAAATAGAGAGCAAGATTGGGGTTGTTAGTGCAATGGGAGGTAGACTACAAGTGGTGTAAGTCATTGTCACGACCCGACGCGACGGGGACGGCCTGGACGATATGTACAAAAAATCACCTGGAGCAAAACTGGGCAAATCTGGAGCAAAACTTACAACTGATCGTCCCAGGACGATCCAGATCGTCCTGGACGATCCTGGAGCAGATTTTTGATATTACAGTCATGACCCAAGTAGTTATCTTTTCATGAATTTAAAGATATATGTCACACTTTCCTATGAGTAATCCATCTTCTCTTGCAACTAAATATCATGAAACAAAAGGGAGTCATGTGTCCACCAACATTTGAACTATTTGGAATATAGGTAATAGACTCCATGATATGTACAAAAAAATCTAGGTAGTTTTGCTCTCATGTGCATAAGATATAAGATTTGGGGTGTAAACGAGTCGAGCTCATCTCAGTCTTGAGCTTAAGCTTAATTAATTAATTGAGTTTGAGCTCGAGCTTTCTTCTACGAGTTCTACCTAACTCGTTTATTTTGAAAGAGAGAAAATGCTTATGATTCAAGTAATTATTTAAATAAAATAATAAAAATGAGAAATTAGAAGAGAAGTATTTATCCAATAAAGATATTCCATTTAGACCCTCAGATATTTAAAGTCTTATATTCAAATATTTATATTTCTTAAATCTAATAATAATTTTCTTATCATTTTATTAATTATTTTCTTAAATTTTATGTGATTTAAAAATAAAAATATTATATAAATAAATATTAAACTTAAGTTATTGATATATAAATATATAGTAATCTATTTTTATTTATTTATTTATAATCCAAATATATAAGAAAGGGGCTTATCTATACTTCGTAGTGTCTCACTCTGGATTGCTCCTCACTCTGTCCCGCGTCGCTCTTCTTCTCCAGCCATTAGAGATGCAGACGATCCTCGCAGCGATGGCCGCGCACACCGTGCTATCAGCGGCTCCGCCGTACGCCTCCCTCCCTCCTCCTCCTCCTCCAGCCTCCTCTGCAAGCCTATTCCTTTCGACCTTCGTCGTGGAGTACCCCCTCCGGATCTCCCTTCTCCAGTCTTCAAACCCAGCAGCCGTACCCAAGCCCCTTGCTGTAGCCGCCGCCCCCTCGACCAAGAAGGCAGTTGCCGTGCTCAAGGGAAGTTCTCAGGTCGAAGGCATTGTCACCCTCCTCCAGGAAAACGACGGTCTAATTCCTTAACGCTCTTTCTTATCTCTCTCTTTACAATGCATAGTTTGGAGAAAATCGCTTCTTCCTCTTGGTTTAATTTTATATATGATTTAGTCTTGTTGCGGGCTAGAATATATGTGGCGATAGAGTTTAAATTCTACGTTTTAAATATTCAGCTCACACATATAGAACACAATATTTTTTATGTGAAAAATCTTGGAAAGTGGAAAAATCATGGGGCCTAGCCCAGTTGAAAAGATTTCACTAGAATTTGAATTGAGTACATTGGGCTGACTCGTCCTTGAGGGTGATCAAATTACAAATGTCAGTCGTATGATTGAAGTTTAGTGTCAAATCTAGCATCACTTGGAATTCCGGGCCTCAGGCGGTGGTCAGGCAGAAGTCTGGGTCTCAGGTGGTGGTCTGGTGGAGCTCAGGACCTCAAGTCGAGGTCTGGCGGAGGTGAGGGCCTTAAGTGGTAGTCTAACGGAGGTAAGGGCCTCAAGTGGTGGTCCGGCGGAGCTCAGGGCCTTAAGTGGAGGTCTGGTGGAGGTGAGGGCCTCAAGTAGTTGTCCGGCGAAGCTCAGGGCCTCAATTGGAGGTTTGGTGGAGGTGAGGGTCAAAAGTGGTGGTAGGCGGAGGTGAGGGCCTCAAGTGGTGGTCCAGCGGAGCTCAAGGCCTCAAGTGGTGGTCCGACAGAGGTGAGAGCCTTAAGTGGTGGTCCGACGAAGGTGAGGGACTCAAGTGGTGATCCGGCGAAGGTGAGGGCCCAGTTGGTGGTCCGACGAAGGCGAGGGTCTCAAGTGGTGGTCTGACAAAGTTCAGGGCCTCAAGTGGTGGTCCGGTGGAGGTAAGGGCCTCAAGTGGTAGTCCGACAAAGGTGAGGGCCTCAGGTGGTGGTCCGACAAAGGTGAGGGCCTCAAGTCGTGGTCCGACGAAGGTGAGTGGCTCAAGTAGTGGTTCGACGACGGTGAGGCCTCAAGTGGTGGTCTGGCGGAGCAACGACGTCAGACAGTGGTCGAGGAGGAGCTTCTTCTTTCTCTTCTCTTATTCTCTTATTGCTTGGGTCCTTCTCTCCCCTCTTAAGGGAAATTAGAGGCTATTTATAATTTTCTGAGAGTGACATGACGTGTAAATAGGGGGAGGATCAAGGGTAAATGTGGAGTGGTTTGGATTGACGGCCGATATTGAATCCCTTGCTCGTAGACCGTTCGTCAGACATTTGAAGGTCTTAATGATATCGGACTTCCACGATCTTGGGCTCGTTGGATTCCTCTAGTCGACCCACTCGATTCGACTATAAGTATGTCACATTTGGAAACTATTTGGTAATTCAAATTGTGGTTTGAACCTTCCAATAGTGCTTCTGGTCCTTGATTTTAACCCATTTGGGCTCGGATTGAGTCGAATTTGGTGTCATTGGGTTCATATTTCCATGACGCTCAGTTTGACTATAAGTTTGTTGAAATCAAAGTTCACATGATCCCAGATTTAATTTTTGAAGTTACCAACTTGATTTTTGCTTTGAGATTCGTGCCTGATCAAGATAATTTTTTGATGATATATCAAGTCTGAACGAGAATAATGGGCAATAGGAATTGAGTTGTTGTTTGATTTTATGGACGATGCTTCAATCAGCTCATTCATAGTGTTCGGGAAGAAAATTCTATAATTATTTTTTTTTAATTTTTATTCATTTTCATTTCCGAGTGTCATTTATGAAGTGAATTTAATCTCCCAAAAATAATCCTAATTATACCTAAATCTAGGATTTACAATAATAAAATTACATGGATGTGGAGTACTCGTATTTTTAGATGCATCTTGTAGTATAATATCTATAGGTATTTAGATGAATGATAATGGAAATAATTCTAGAAATAGATTTGCATCTCTTATAAGTGGGTTTGTTTGACAATCCCAATGCTTGATAAATCTTTCAATGCAAATATATCATATATAATGAAAATAATAATAGAGAATATGTTAGGAGGTAAAGTTAAAAAAAAATAATGTAGTAAGCCAAAGGATCATACATATCATGTAGAATTTGATGGATTCATAGCTAGAGAATTGAGTTTAAGTTAATCCATTATATTTTTCAAATGAATATTTTGAAAAATAGTTTCAATAATGCTATCACTATTGTATCAACTCAATTATGAGCATATCTAGTGTAATGGGAGGCTTATAAAGTTTAGACTGACTTGATACTTTCAGCTTTATACTCACTTATGCCATAGGGTATAGGTAACCCACTTAGAAGTTCTAAGAGGATAGCTGTATATGAGTCTTAATAGGAAGAGATGCAACAAAAGCTTATTAACATGGATACCGAAGTCAGAAAAGTTCAAACTTATCAGGATATATAATTAAGTTTGATGAGGTAGAAGTTTAGCCTCACTAATTTTATTGAAGATTTATATTTTCTGTCTTTTGGGGATGTTATAAGTCATAAAAAAATTGTCTTATCAATTTCTTAAGATTATTGATCTTCCATCCCGATTGAACTTATCAGTAATCTTTTTATCAATAATCTTTTAAATTTTATCATTCATACTAAGTTTGAACTCTTTTGGACTCCTTCCATCAAACATATAAGTATAGTTCTTAATAAGGAGGGAACTATCTTATGGCTATGGGTTTTTGGCTCTCTTTGATAGTATTTAAATTTTAAATTTTAAAATTTCTTTCATTTCTGCCCATATTAGAGTTTTTCTTGGAAAGTTTATGCTCTTTTTCTTTAAAGTCATTCCACTATATTTTGGAGATCCTTAGCATTTTTAGTTCTGTAATACTAGTTCTTTGATAGTCATCCATATTTTGCCAATAAAAAAATAAAAAAAAAACATTTGATTGTTTGAGTGAATCTAAAAATTATTTATGTTCAGCAAGCCATTAAATGTAGTTTCAAATTTTATCTTATTGTGGGGGTATTTTAGTGATGTAAAAGGATGCATGATTGCAAATATATAGTATGCAGTGAAGTGTTTTTAAAAAATTGAAAATGATAAGATAGAAAGGTTAAAAAAACTTGATGATTTGAATAAGGAGAAATATATAGAGAAGTACATAGAGAGTACTTTTCTCTCTATATTGAGAAATTTGATGGAGAATTATAGAGAGAATTACGAGAATCTACATTGATATTTATTAATTTAGAGAAAATATATGATAAAGCCCCAACTCCCATGAGAAGTGCTCTGGAGAGTTCTAGATAGACAGGGTTTAATAATATTTATATTCAAGTTATTAAGGATGTGTATGCAGAAGTTATTACTTGTATTCAAACACAAGGTAGTTTGACCAAGTATTTTCCTATTTTAGTTGGATTACATCAAGGATCAGCTTTAAGCCCATATCTTTTTCCTTTAGTCATGGATGTTCTTAGTAGAGATTTGCAAGAGGATGTACCTTGGTGTATGTTTTTTGCTGATGATATTCTTTTTTTTGATAAGACTAGATAGGGAGTTGAAGGAAAACTTGAATTATGGAGGTCAACCTTAAAGTCTAAAGATTTTCGTTTGAGTACATCTAAAAGAAAATACATGGAGTGAAATTTTAGTAGTTATAAATCTAGTGGGAGATTGTGATTTTGAGCGATTAAGTCATTAAAAAGAATACACGTTTTAGATATCTCAGGTCTATTGTTCAAATGATGGTGAAATTGATGGGATATTATTAGTAGAATTCAAATTGGATGATTAAAGTGGCGGAATTAATTGGGTTTGTTGTGTGATAGAATAGTACCCCTCAAACTTAAAGGGAAAATTCTGTAAGATGGTGGTAAGAACTGTAATGCTTTATGGCATAGAATGTTGGCCATTAAAAAATAAGCATAAATTTAAGCTAAATGTTGCAGAGATGAGGATGCGCAGATGTATGAGTGGCTTTACTCTTAGAGACAGAATGCGAAATTAGTATATACGTGAAAAGATTGGAGTAGCTCCAGTGGCAAATAAGATTAGAGAGAGTTGTATTAGATGGTTTGGTCACATAAAACACCGACCTTTCGATGAACTGGTTAGGAGAGTAGATGTATTAGATCTGATTTATATTAAGAAATGTAGAGGCAGACCTAAAAAGACTTGGTTAAAAAGCATTATAAATGATTTTTTTAATTAGATTTAAATAAGAATTTGACTCTTAATTTGATATAATGGAGAAAAAAGATTCATGTAGCTGACCACACGTAGTGGGATAAAGTCTTTTGTTGTTGTTGTTGGAAGGCTAAGGATTATGACGATTAGTTTTAGCATTTTAGGGGAGATTTTTGGTTAGAACGTTCTTACAATGGATGGTCAAGTTTTATTAGATCAAATAGAATGAGGACCTCCATATGAAAAGTTTGGAATGCTAGCAAATAAATAAAAGTATTTTCATGGTCAATTGGATGTGCGGTTAGGAAGTAATGAATTTTTTATGTGGAGTAGTCTACAAACTTGAAGATCATAGAGTTCAGCTATCTCCTGATTGAGTTGAACTCATGATATGCCTGGTGATTAAAGTTTCCTTATACATTTTGAGAATCTTGTTTGTTATATATACCTTAATGATGGAAGAGAGTTTTTTATATATGTCAGAGAGCGCTTCATGACTCATATTAAGTCATTTCATTTAGAATGTGGAAGGTAGCATTCATGGTCAGGGTGGTAGGTAATTCCAGCACTTGACTCTATTAGTTCCAGATCCTGATTAATGCCCTACTTTTATCAATTGATGTAATTTTCTCTGGTAGAGAGTGTTAAAGCACAAACAAGAAAGTACATTTCTTGACACGTGTAAAGGCTAAAGCTAATATGATCCTAAGGCTTTGTGTATAAATACAAGACTGTACATCCCTTTTCATCATTAAGTCTTAATAAAACAATTTCATTCCTTTTCCAGATTTTCTGTTTTTTTTTCCTCTGCTTGCTTCACCGCCTATGCAGTTTATCATGGTATCAGAGCAAAGGTCAGAAATCTGAATCTTTTTTTTTTCTCTTTCCTTCTTCCTCCCTCTCTGCTCTTTCTGTCTTCTAGTTCTTTCTTCAACGCCCATGGAAGCCTCATCAACCTCTCAACCCACCATACAATCCAACCCACAAACACCCGCCCCTATCATTCGACCTCAACTCAAATTCCTTATAAGCAACATCAAGAATCTTGTCCCAACCCTTCTCACCTCAGATAATTACCCAATCTGGCGGTCCCAAGTTGAGAAGATCTTCAATGCAAATAGTTTCAAAGGTTTTCTTGATGCTTAAACATCTTGTCCACCAAACTCCATCACTCCAGACGGCACAACCGCTCCATCACCGCAAGAATCTTGGACCTTAATAGATCAACACCTCTCCGCCGCGCTTTTTTCTACCATTACTCCGTCCATCCTCCCCTATGTCCTGTCCGCATCTTGCTGCCACGAAATCTGGACAACTCTAGCCCATCGTCTTTAATCTACCACTCGCTCTTGCCTCATCCAGTTAAAAAATGAGCTCCATCACCTGCCCAAAGGAGACAAACACATGTCTCACTATCTTCTTTAGGTTAAAGCAAAAGTCGACGCTATAACAACCACTGGCAGCACGATCGAGTCCGAAGACATTATACTTTATACACTTAACGGACTTCCCTCCTCATACTAATCATTCAAGACGGCTATACGCACAAATCTTCAGCCATTGAATCTTGATGATTTCTACAGCCTCCTCTACAGCGAAGAGCAAAACATCTTACAAGATGCCTCCCAAGATCTTCAGGCTTTAAGCCTCACCGAAAAAACTTTAGCTCTCACTGTCTCACGCAGAAGTGGATGTGGCCGATCTTACATAAACCGCGGCACCCGTGGACAACGTTCCCCGCAGCAACCTGGTCGTGGTGATCACTCAACTAACCGCAATGTCACGTGTCAGATCTGCAACAAATATGGTCATTCAGCCATTCACTGCTGGTATCGCACAGATCCAGCATATACCGAAGCCACACAAACGTCAGCCCTGTTCAGCCCATCGGAGACTCCACGCCAGAATGACTAGTTTCTGGACAGTGGTGCCTCAGTTCACCTAACGACTGATGCAACTCAACTCAACAACTCCGAACCGTACACAGGCTCCTCCCAAGTCGATCACTCTTGGTAATGGTCAATAGCTCCCGATACAAAATACAGGTAACGGTATACTTCCTACTCCATCAGGTACTCTCTACCTTCACAAGATTCACCATGTACCAAATCTTGCATTCAATTTAATTTCAGTTCACAAATTAGCTCTTGACAATAACTGTATTATTTCGTTTTCTCCATACGATCAAATAAAGGATTTGACGACCAATCGTCTTCTTCTTCAAGGCACATGCCATAACGGCCTCTACATTATCCCTCACAACACATCAACCTCCAAACTTGCACTTCTCTCGATTCAAGCCATCCCTGATCTATAACACCATCGCCTAGGCCACCCCGCCTTCTCCACCGTTCACTATTAAGCTCGATCTCAACCCAGCATATGTACTGACTCTTTTAATAGTTTTTGTAATACTTGTCACATTGCCAAGAGCAAACGTCTTTCTTTCCTACCCTCTACGACTACTACCTCTGCACCATTTGAACTTGCACATTCCGATGTATGGGGTCCGTCCCCGCATACATCTATGCAAGGATATCGTTACTTTGTCACTTTTATTGATGATTTTACTAAATACACTTGGGCTTATCCGCTAACTAACAAATTTGATGTAACGAACTCCTTTATTAATTTTCACAAGTTTATCAACTGCCAATTTCATCGAAACATTCGCACAATTCGGACTGACGGCGGAGGTGAATACCTCAATAACATATTTAAATCTTATTGTACTCACCGGGGAATTCGTCACCAATATACCTGTCCTTACACACCGGCACAAAACGGAGTCGCCGAACGCAAAAATAGACATCTTATTGAAACCATTCGTAGCCTTCTTTTTCATTCTCATGCTCCGTATTCACTATGGGCAGATGCTCTCCACACTGCCATCTACCTAATCAATCGGCTTCCCACTGCCACACTAAGCAATAGCACACCTTACTACTATCTCTAGAATAAACAGCCAACTTATATGCATCTTCGCATATTTGGGTGTTTGTGTTACCCATGGCTCAAACCATATTCTCAATCAAAACTATCACCCCTATCCACCCCTTGTGCCTTTATCGGCTACGCCAAAGAACAAAAAGGATACCGCTGCCTCGATTTATCTACCAATCGTATATATGTTTCTCGCCATGTTGTATTCAATGAGCGCATTTTCCCTTACGCACAGTCTCCTGTCACTACTTCTACACATAACACACATGAATCTTTACATCACCTTCCTCCCTTACTGCTTGTTCCTACATCCATGAATTCCACTTCCCCACGTCAACACAACAGTCAGCAACACAAAACTCCTCCACATCAACATACTATTCCACAACCCAGCCCTTCAAATGTCTTAAACACTCCCTCAGCTTCGGCTTCACCCACCTCCACAAACATCACTCAAAATCCATTAGTCACAGCTACTACTCCTCATACCCGACCTCAACATCACATGGTGACCAGACTGAAAACAGGCAATTTAAAGCCTAAGCAAATCTTTGATCTTACACATCAAACTCGCACATCGGATCCCACCACTTATGCCCAGGCATCCAAATTCGAACACTGGAGAACCTTGTCTCAAGAATTTCAGGCCTTACAATCTCAGGGCACTTAGGAGCTCGTCCCCGCAAACTCAACTTCAAACCCGCTCGGCTGCAAGTGGACATACCGCACCAAATATAACTCAGATGGAACCATTGCTAGACACAAAGCCCGTCTCGTTGCATTAGGATATAATCAAGAATTCAGATTAAATTACACTGAAACGTTTAGCCCCGTAGCAAAAATTTCAACATTAAGCGTTCTTTTACTTCTTGCTCTAAATCAAAACTGGAATATCTGCCAATTAGACGTCTCAAATGTTTTTTTATATGGCAAGCTTATTGACATTGTTTACATGAAGCAACCTCCTGGCTATCTAGACACAAACTACCCCAATCACATCTGTAAACTCAATAAGGCTCTTTACAGACTCAAACAGGCCCCTCGACAGTGGTTCGAAACACTCACAGGTTTTCTACATGAACAAGGCTTCACTACTAGTAATTCGGATCCATCTCTCTTGATTTATCGCAAAAACGATCATAACATATATATTATTCTGATAGGAAATAACCAGGAAACCATAGACAAGCTGCTTCACGCTCTACACAAAAGGTTTAACATGCGGAATCTTGGCAGTCTAATGCATTTCCTAGGCATCTCCACTGATCGGACCGAGACAGGCCTTCATCTACACTAACAGCAGTACGCAGAAACAATTCTCCAAAGGGCTGGCATGCTCAACAGCAAGCCAGTATCAACACTATCCCAACTCAAGACCAGCACTTCAACTACTTCAACACCATTTTCCAACCCCAAACTCTGCCGTCAACTTGTTGGAGCCCTCCAGTACCTCACCCTTACTCGCCCCTACATCACATACTGTTAATAAAGCATGCCAACACATGCATCAACCTACATAACTTCACTTTGAGTCACTCAAACGCATTCTATGGTACATTCGTGGATCTCCCGCTACGGAATTTCTCTCAATCCTACCACCACCTTCACCATTAGAGCTTACACCGACGTTGACTGGGCTGGAGACCAATCTGACCGGAACTCTACTATAGGCTACTGTATTTTCATAGGATCTACATTGATCTCTTGGAGTGCAAAGAAGCAGACAACTGTTGCCCGATCATCAACGGAGGCGGAATACCGTGCTGTCGCCTCCACCGCAACAGAAATCATTTGGCTCCGCCGACTACTACATGAGCTCGATTGTACCCAGCATCAACCAACCACACTATATTGCGATAACACGTCCGCTATTGCCCTCGCCAACAATCCAGTCTATCATGCCCGGACTAAGCACATAGACATTGATTGTCATTTCATTAGAGAATGTATAAAAAATAAAACTATTCAGCTTCATCATATTGCATCAAAGGATCAATTGGCCGATCTCTTCATCAAAGCTTTAACAATCTCCAGATTTCAATTTCTTCTTCCCAAACTGATGACAACGGGAACTGATCGACAACCCGTTGTCATCAATTTGCAGGGGCATGTTAAAGCACAAATAAGAAAGTACATTTCTTGACACGTGTAAAGGCTAAAGCTAATATGATCCTAAGGCTTTGTCTATAAATACAGGACTGTACTTCCCTTTTCATCATTAAGTCTTAATAAAACAATTTCATTCCTTTTCCAGCTTTTCTGTTTTTTTTCCTCTGCTTGCTTCACCGCCTATGCAGTTTATCAGAGAGAACTTTTAATCGACATTTTCTAGAACGCAAAATTTAGTTCACTGAACTTGTTATTCATGATCTTCTCATCCTCAAACTTAGATCGAAAAGCTTTCTTAATTACATTTCTAATACTGATTGTTAGAATAGATAATAATGGCGAGCAATAGCATGTGAGGAATGTTATTGTAGTGACAATCACAAACATATTTAAATTTACATGGTTTGATGAAATCTACCTACATTTACAATCTAACAAAGATAAAAAATTTAATTAAGCTTTAAGAGAATTATATGGTGATATTTTCTTACAATGTAGGAGATGAATCAAAGTTAATGCTTTATAAGACAATACATAAAGACCTTCTATAGTAATGATGAAATTGAGCAAAACAAAGAGGAGAAAATTTCACAACTACATGTTGTAGGAACCGAGTGAAGCTCTGAGCTCCCTCTTGGTGATGATGCCAAAATCTTTTCCTATAATATACCGCTTGATTCTTTTTTATTAGAAATCGACCTCTACTGTGGCAGTAGGAGGTCGAATTCACACTACAGTGCTTAAACAGAAACAATCAGATCCCCATCTCCCTTCCTCTATGTCTTGGTTTTCCATTTAACTAGTTCCTCGCTTTCTTCTGTTGTGAGGTGCCTTTTATATAGAATGCTTGGGAGGTCACCCAGGGTTGTATTTATAGATGAGATAATATATAAGTATAAAAACTCTCCTAACCCCCACACTTAAGATTTCAGATGATCTGAAATATCTCCAAAAAAAAAAAAAGATTCTCTCAAAAAATTTCTCTAAAAAGTAATTTTAAACAAATCTTAATATTGGATTTACAATAATGAGGAAATTGCATGCCATATTAGGAAAGAATTGATTACCATAACAATCTTTTTATTGAGGTTGAATAAACGGGAGATCAATGTTGAGTCTGATATATCAATATTTATAAATAATTTCAACCCAAAAGTTTAAGCTTGTGGGTGAGGTCCAACAATATAGTGTTACTATACAAATTTTTTTAACTATATGATATGAGATTAAATCAAAAGCTTTCACATGTTGTAGTAATATTCCCTCACCTGAAAGCTCTTCATATCTATCCACTCCCCTAAAATGGAAGCTTTTATCATTTATCACTTACTAAGAACCCACTTAATCATGTGATGGTGTTGTGGGAGCCACCCATTTTTGAACTTACATTATTAGGAGATCAAGACCATTTGTGAACTTTGTGTCTCTAATTATATTCTTATTCTCAAGAGTAACATCATTATCTCTTTATCTAGTGCCATGCTCCATGATTCATACCATGGATAGCCCACCATCAATCTTCATAAATACTTTTGTAATGCCCCATAATCTAATTTGGAAGAATTCTTTTTTCTTTTTAATAAATAACATCATAGCTATCTAACTTTATTTATAAGAAATAAATAACGGAAATAAATTATAGAATTCAAAACATTTATATGTACATCTGTATTCATTTTCAATACATTGCAGCAAATAAAATATAATTGAGTTTAATTTCAACATGTCCTGATGGTTGGCAACAAAAAAAAATATCTTGAGCAAAAATTTATATTTTAAAAAATTTACTAAATTACTAGATATTGTATAAAACAACATTATGAAATTTTTTTTGAACAAAAGCACTATTTTTAGATGTTAAAATAATTTTGTGTGTAGGTAAAAAATTGATGCCTTTTCAAAATTAACCGATGAAAATATCAAATAAATACTAAAAACTTGCATAATCTCAAACTCTATGACATATAAAAAGTTACGTGGTAAAAGTTTTATCAATACAAAATTATCCTCGTTTTTCCGTAACAAAAACACAAATTTGGTCAAAAAAATATAAAAAATACAAAATTCTTGAAATCATAAATATGGTAATGATTCCTTATAGCGAGATGAGTAAATCTTTCAACTGGGCCGACTAACGAAAATCACTCCAAGACCTCCAAATCTAAGGATTTCTTTTATCTCTTAAAATTTTCTCATTTCTGTGCTACCGAAAATGAGAAGGGATGAGGATTTAAAACATTTTAGTGACTTTGGATATTTTTATTAAAATAATAATTTAAATTTTATTTCTGCTATTTATTTTTGATAAATGAAGTTAGATAGCTCTGGTGTTGTTTATTAAAAAAATAGAAGAATTCTTCCAAAATATATTTTGGGGCATCACAACTCCTCACAAGAAAAGATAATGAAGATACTTTGCCCAAAACTACTACTATCTTGACGCATGGGTTTTGTTCAAATTTTTTGATTCCATTCAGCCGTTTCCATATTTTTGTGATTAGAAGTTTTTATACATATTCTGTTATTTTCAAGCTACCTCCAACTCATCTCTTACTGTCTTTTAGGGAGCCCCACAACAGTGAAGGTTCGTGTGAGTGGACTAACCCCCGGACCTCATGGCTTCCACGTTGTAAGAGCTTCAAAGCATTTTTCTTAATCTTTCTTCCATTAGTTCATTTAGATTATTTGCTAATGTAATAAACATTTCTGAATTTTTTCATGCAGCATGATTATGGTGATATTACAAATGGATGCATTTCCACAGGTGGAACCAACAAACTCTTAAACTTATTTTTTTTTTAAAAATATAAATAGTTTATATCTATTATTGCAAATTCATAATCTACCCAGAAATTTTTTGGATTTCATTTGCTTTCCTTCTATTCAAACAAAGCCTTGATTATCTGCTGCTAGTCTAATACAGAATTTAATCTTGAAAAATCTCAAAATAGTCCCCATACTATTCATGTATAGCCAATTTAGTTCCAAAGTATCACTTTGCTTCAATTTAATCCCTTGACTATACAAAATTGATCCAAAATAGTCCCTCACAACGATATAAAATTGATTCTAACTTAATCCCTAAACTTTACAAAATTGATCACAATTTAGTACTATTGTAAAGATATCATTTTAGATCAATTTTGTATAATCAATGGACTAAATTGGAGCAAAATTATATTCTAGGACTAATATGACCATATACAAATAGTCAGAGGACTATTTTGAAATTTAACCCGAATTTAATCAGTAGCTAAGGTGCACATTTCGAGCTTCACAATCCAGACTGCTTTCATGATTCTTGAGAGAGAAAATGGAGATACACCATGCAACTGTGTTTCTTGTGCTTGGAATGAAATTAAATATTTGAACTATAGAAGTAGAAACATTTCCTTATCTTTACATGATACTTCTGGAACTAAACCTTTATTAATAATGATCTTCAACAAAGGACTAACCTATCCTATCTTTTTTTCTTTCTAAGGTTCACATTTTAACCCTAATAAGATGACACATGGTGCTCCTAAGGACAATATTCGCCATGCGGGTGATCTAGGAAACATATTTGCCAACTCTGATGGTATGATCTTTGAAATCCTCAGAATTTCTTCTTTGATTATCACACAAAAGAAATTTATCTTGTTCTTGTTTGTGAATATAGGAGTGGCTGAGGCGACAATTGTGGATGCACAGGTTAAGCTTGTAACCTGAATTTTATCTTTAGCATCTTTCCTTGCCTAGCATTTAATTAATTAGAATTAACATTTAGAAAATTCTTCTTTTTGTTTTCCTTACCCACTGTTGCTTGGCTTGATTGGTGGGCGAGTACGGTTGGGATCCCCCCAACCTGTGCTCGATTACCCTTGAGCGGCAGCACCTCTTAAGTGGGGCCTAATCAAGTGCGGACCAGGAGGTTTCTGGGGTGGGTGTCTCTTCTAAGTCACCCGAGGATTAATTACGCTGTCAAGCGCCCTTTCGGGTGTGATAGTGGGTGGATATCCCGTTCCAAAAAAAAAAAAATTTCTTTTTTGCAATATCCAATATCTGAATCTAGGATTCTGGTTATTCTTTCCTTTATAATAAATTGTATGACATGTTTTATTAACACGTTCAGATTCCATTGAGTGGGCCTACTGCAGTCATTGGAAGATCCTTTGTAGTTCATGAGCTTGAAGATGATCTAGGAAAAGGTGAGTATTAAATTAAGTTGGAATTTTTTTTAATTGATTAACCGTATTGTACTTTCATGTTAAAGCTAACCCTAGTCCCTATAATTTTTGAGAAATTATTCTGTGCAGAGTCTGGATGAGAAGAACTATCCGGATTGTGAAACAGTGTGTACACTGATTTTGTACACACTATGTACAAAATGTGTACACTTAATGTCCGGACTGTTCTTCCCGTCCGGACTCCACACATAATAATTTCTCATAATTTTGAGATCCTTTCTCGTCAAAATTTCATCAGAATATCTTGATCAAACTATTTTTCATTAAAATATAAGCTTCACTAATATATCAGAATCAATCAAACTCTTCTTGAATGACCTTCCTTTTTTGGTTTTTCTCCAAACTTTCCAACATATTGCCATTAGGAGGGAAAGAGCTTAGTCTAAGCACTGGCAATGCAGGAGGAAGATTGGCATGTGGTGAACCTTTGACTTATCATTTTACCTCAATTATTCACAGTGGCATAATATGCATAGTTTCCCTGTTTAAGCTTGATGTTTTCTGTGCAGGTGTTGTTGGCTTAACTCCACCTTAGTCATTCTATCTCTTAAGCTTCGTTTGGAATCGCTTTCATGAAGCAGTTTTTTAGTAAAAAAAAATTTGAATTTGAAAATTTTGTACTAAAAAGCTGCTTTGTAAAGCAGAAAGAAAGCTATTCCAATTTCCAAACAATACCTTGAGCTAATAAATTTCTTTCACTACTTGGAAGCAATTTATCAGATCTAAATGTTACTCAGCATTTTCTGCTATGTATAGTGATTTGAGATTTTTTTTTTTTAATCTAGAATTTGTGGAGGCTGTTTCCTATTGCTACAATATAGTTAATGTAATTTCTTTATTTATATGAATCTCCTGCCTCTTAAGGTTGTTAGCAAGCAAATCCCATAGTCATTATACTCCTGAGCCATGCTTATATGTTTCTTCTAGAGATGGAGTCATTTAGGCTTCGTTTGAGGCAGTCTTTTTAGTGCTTTCTAAAGCATCTTTTTAGTATAAAATTTTTTTAAACTCTAAATTATGTAACGCATAGTCATAGGCATTCAAAATAGGATGAAACTATTTCAAAAATAGAGTTGAATTGAACGGGTTTGATGAATTGGATCGACACTCCTCTCCATCTTGTTGATGCATGATTGTGCCGTATAAGTCTCGATGCGGGAGCTATAGTGCATATGCAAGCGATCGAGCGAGCAAGCGAGCGTATGTGCGATCGAGCGAGCAAGCGAGCGTATGTGTGTGTGAGAGAGAGATAATTATGTAACTTATATCATATGTATCTATGTTATATTGTGTTTGTATACTCTAATTCATATGGATTCATAGATGTTTTAGCTTAAAATCTGAAATTATTTTATGGAAATAGCATTGAAGAGTCTATCCAATGGCTTTATTCTCTTAAGTTTTCATCTCTCTCTAGCTATATTTTGATGGTTGCCATTATTAAATTTTCAATGATATTTCGTAAGAAAAACTACAGAAAAATCATTCACCGACAGATTTTGTCAGGGAAATTGCTACTTTTTCGGCAGATTTGTAAGTTTCCGCCAGAAAAATTTTTGCCCGAAAAAATCACATGGGAAATGAAATGCGAACGATTTTTTTTCCACCAGAAAATATTTCCGACGAATTTTTGAACGGCATAGTTCTTTTTTTGTTGAGAGTGGTGGATAGAGGGACAGATTGATGACAATCCCGTCAAAAATTTCTGACGGAAAACCACCGAAATTATCCACCTGTAATTTCCGACGGTTGTTCCACCAAAAATAACGCTGGTAGGAGGCTTTTCACCCTTTTTTTGTTGCATCGCTGCGTCGCCCAATATCAAAGAAATGAATATGCCTTCTTTTGTATTTAGTATCTATTAGTTGATATAATGTACCGGTATTTTATAATAATAAAGTGTGTGATATTAGTTTTGATAAAACATTAATATAATATTTGATAAACTCAAACTCATCGAAGGAAGAGGAAGAGGGAAACTACCAAGCCTATGTAGAATGAATCATCCACCAAAACAAATCAAAAGGAAAGGAAAGTTCATTATCAATTCAAATAACCATTAAGCAACTTCTTCTATTATTCTCCAACAATATATAAAACTATTACATGAGAGTGAAAAATAGAAATAGAGAGATAAAAGGGTGGCCAACAAGTTCAATGAACCAAGAGCTGAGTTCTCCATGTGAAAATTTATACTTTGTTTGTGACGGCTTGTGCCATTATATATATATTTCTGCTATTTTTAAAAAAATTTTATACTAAAAAATTACTGTAAGAAGTAGTAAGAAAGCTATTCCAAACGAAGATTTGGTGATAAATTTGATGGATTAATCCTTGGAATGAATATTGAAATGTTGAGAATGGCTCTTACTTTTTCTATATGGTAGGATATCATTCTTCCCCCAACTATTTTGTTTCACCATCAACTTAACAAAACTTGTCCAACAACTCTGCAATGTTCCGATCAGAGCTCCCTCCTGCATCCACAGCTCGCCTCGAAGCCTCCTTCCACTCCCTCGCACTCCTCCTAATCCCCTCGCTTCTTTCCCCCTCCATAACCTCCCGCACGCACCTCTCCACCTCCTCCCTTCTCACAATCCCCTCCTCCCCTTTTCTCGCTCGAATCCCCGTTCCCCAAACCTCCTCAATGTATTTCGCATCAGTAGTCTGATCTGTCCACTGCGGCAAAGCCACCATCGGCACTCCCAAAGCCAACGCCTCCATTGTCGAGTTCCAACCACAGTGCGTTACAAAGCAACCAAATTTACCAGTTGCCAGAATCTCCAGTTGCGGAGCCCAACTGACCACCAAGGAGCCATTTTTCTTGGTGGTCTCTGCAAATCCGGCGGGCAATTTGTCTGCTTCGGTGGCGCGGACGACCCAGAGAAAGGGGCGGTCGGTTGCAGCCAAACCGACGGCAAGCTCAACCATTTGGGTGGCGGAGAGAACAGCCATGCTACCGACGGAGACGAAGATGGCTGAGGATAATGGGAGAGAAGAAATCCATGATTTGCAGGCGGAGGTTTCTGGGGGGTAGAGGTCGATGGCGTATTTTTGGTCATCAGGAATTCGGTTGTCTAAGTAGGTGGAGGGTACCGTCGGCCCAATTGTTATTGCTCGTCGCACCGATGTAAGCCAATTCATTTCCTGTAAAAAAGATATCTTTTTGATTATTTCCAAATATTTTTATCACCAAATATTCCCTTAGACCAGTTCGGAAAGAGGAATTTTGAATATTTTAATAGAACTAACTGTCGAATTCCATGTTCTGAAACTCACCTCAGATTCCAACTCGTAGAAAGAGTTGATGACCATTATATCAGCTTTCTCCAGGTTCTTATACTGATTCAACACCATCTCTAGATAAGCAACGTACACCACCTCCGGCGCCGCCAAATAGGTCGGCAGATCTTCCACCTCCATCTCCGGCAACCCGGGCAGCTTCACCGCTGCCGCCGGGAACTTCAGCCTCCCCTCGCACACATGGCAGTATATAACATCTACTGCCACTGACTGTGTAAAAAATGATGCCGCCGCCGCCCCGTGGCGCTTTGCGACGTCGACCGCCCATGGGAAAAAGGAGTCGTAGATCAGTAAGGATACCGGCCGACCTCTATGGGCGAGCGAGCTGAGGAGATCGTCTAGGGTCTGGGAACCGATTGTTTCTAGGCTGGTCAGGTAGGCTGAGATGGAGGCGGCGGAAGGGAAGCCGGCTTCGTCGAAACCATCTGATATGTTTCGATGAGCGACCGGTCCAGCGTTGTGGGTTGTGGTGGATGCGATGAAGCGGGTGATGGCGGCGGTGGCGAGGCGGCCATGGCGCGATGCGCTTGCCAAATTGAAGCATTGGGTTGATGTGGCCTTGGCTTGGGTATGGTAGGAGAAGAGCATGCCCTATGGCTTTCTTCTCTGAAGGTTCCATCTCTCTCTCTCTCTCTCTTGAAAGCTCTATATTGAAATTATTGGAGAAGATAGAGAAAGAATGGATGATATTGGTCTCTATGTCTCTCTCTCTCTGAAAGCTCTATATTGAAATTATTGGAGAAGATAGAGAAAGAATGGATGATATTGGTTCATGAAGGAAGGAGGGAGAATATATAGCTACTTCTGCATTTTTTTGTTTTGAGCGGGGTATCGGCCCGTTGTCACGTCAGCTTGTTGACGTATTTGATGATGTCCACTAATCCCTCGGCGGAGTCTACCAGCAACAACCCACAGGTGAGACTCACAGTTCTTCTCTCCACTAAAGAGTCGTGGTATGAGAGGGTGATCGAATTTGGATGGGGGGTTCCAACACAAGCACGCCCACCAACCCACCTAAGCCCGTGGGGTTACTCTGCATTTTTAACTTCTTGTTATTACACACGTTGATAATATATATTTATTGGATGTGTTTATAAAAACAAAGGGCATATAAATAAATAATAATTTTAGAGGTGTTTATATTGCATACTTGTGAAATTATATGTATTTACATTTTAGATACATAAATTACATAAAAAATATCACTAATATTAACTTATCTAAAGTGAAATATACTTTTATATGAGTATATTTTAATGCGATTTAGATATTAGGGTGTTATCAACGTAAATATAAATATTTAAGAGTTATATGTAATTATATAAAAATTTAGTGGCATGTGTGTAATTCTCTCTTAATTTTAATTTTAATGTGTATTATATACATACTTAAGTTAATATACTTTTTTTATTTTAAAATATTTATTTAAATAAATAATGACTACTTAATATTAATTTTATTGTTCTTCTTTGACTCAATTATTTAATTTTTATTTCATATTTTAAAGAACAAAATTTTGCAACTTCAAGCAACAACATGTTGCTATTTATTTTTTCAATTAAGTTATGGTAATTAATAAAATTAAATATATTTCTCATATCATAATTAGGTACTGAAATAATTTTTATTACATGAATTAATTTCATTTTTTATGTAATGTTGATAATTAACTACTATGCATATATTTTCTTTTTTAATATATAGTATCATAATATCATGCACATAGGATGTTCAAATATCTTATATTTCAATAATAGATATGTTTGAGCCACCGGACTTGACTTGGTTGGTGGGCCAGGCGTGGTTGGGGACTCCCATCACGTTCGAATCATCTCTCAAGGCGGTGCGACTCCTTCAGTGGTGAGAAAATAAGTGTGAGTTCGGCACCTGTGGGTTGGTTGGTCGTTAGGCTCGCCGAGAGATTAGTTACGCCGCCGTGCGCCTCTTCTTGGAGGAGAGACAGGTAGATACCCCCTTCCAAAATTAATAATAATAGATGTCTTGTGTCTATGTCATAGTACTGTACACAGTCTCCGTATTTATATCGATGCATCATAAATTAGTTGATGTTATTGGATTGAATTTTCAAATGATGTTTTCTTTGTCTAAAGTTTTGAATAATATCTTTAGCTAAGGGTTATTATTATTGACTTTTCATCTATGTTTCATAAGAAGTTAAATTAGAAAAATTATTGCGTCCTCCCACTCTGACGTAGCAGATGCGTCCTCCGCCATCGCCAAAAAACTTGGTTTTGCTCGGTATTGCTAGGTATTATTTGGTAATAACGAGTAATATCATCATGTGAAGACCTAATACGAGTGTATACCGAGCTATATACCGAGCAATTACTGAAGAAATACCGAGCACATACGAGTTTTCTCTAGGAAAAACTACGGTATTTTTTTTTGTAGTTGCTCGGTATAGGCTCGGTATAACTCGGTACTTGGTCTCACATGATGAAATTCCTCGTTATTGTTGGAATGCTTGGTATTTTCTCGTTTTTAGCGCGATTTTAGCTCTGGGGAGGAGGACGCATCTCTACCGTCAGGTGGGAGACGCAAAATTTTTCAGTTAAATAACATATGGTGGATATTCACCCTATGAGGAGAAAGTATATATGCCTATTTTTGTATTTATTATATATTAGTTATTAAATACATTGACACTTTATAATAATAGAATTTATAGAAATGAATTCTTGTATTTATTTGATATAAATTCAATTTGTTTTAGACACACTATCTATATATCTAATTTAAAAAAATGGGTATGTTTAACATTGATAATAAATTTAAATTTTAAATTCTATCATTAATAAATAACTTAATTAAGCTATATCTTATATTTTAATTAAATAACTTAATGTCTACTAGATACTAATTTATTTTTTTATTCTTCAACACTTTTATTTAATATTTTTTTAACAAGAGAACCAATTTTATTAACTTTATGCTAATGCTAATCATTTATAATATAATGGGCTTATTCCTTCTTCAATTAAGTTTGAGATATTTAATAAATTTAAATATATTTCTATTTTATATGTAATTAAAATAAAATTATTATTATACAATGTTTATTTATCATTAGATAATGTAGTATTTAATGACCAATTACATTGAACAACCTTCTTTCATGTAATTTAGTATTATAATAATTTTCTTTTATCATATGATAATTTAAAAGACTATTAAAAAAAAAAAAAACTAATCTATATTAATTCGTAGCATGAAGATCTGACTTAAATATAAAAAATAAATCCTATTTTTTATTATTTATTTATATGTAGGTGGAAGAAAGCATATTTTAATATATTATTTTTCAAATAAAAAATGCAGATTTATTTTTTTAATGAAGAGTAGTAAAGTAAAATTTGGTCCCCTAAAATAATTCTTGCAGAAAATTGTTAGAGGAAAGAGACAAAACTATGAGCTATGCCAACTCCTCTAATAATAGATGAAAGAGAATATATGTCACATGTCATTATTATTAATTTATTTACAAGAAAATTATTATAAAATTATGAAATACATAAAATATATAATCAAATATATAGGGCATATAGATAAAATTAAGGAATAATTTTAATTTTTTTTTTTTTGAACGGAATATCTACACACTACCACCCCAGAAGTGGCGCATGACAACGTAACTAATTCCTGGGTGAGCCTACCAGCAACTAGCCTCACAGTTGGAAAGCAACACAGTTATTTTCTCCCCATTTGAGAAGTCGCGCCGCATGAGAGAAGAATTGAACATGAGTTGAGGAGTTCCCAACCACTATCGCCCACCAACTCATCCAAGCCTGAACATTGCACTCAATGCGGTTCCATTATGCATCCTCCCTCTCTCTGCCCAAAAGACCCAGTTACTCGTCCTGCTACTGCTCCCAAACCTAGAGGTAGGAGTAGCAGTCGAAAACCCAGAATTCCACGGCCCCCAAGACTCCTTATTCCGAAGGCTCCTACAAACACAAAAGCTGATACCTTACCACAAACCCAAATCTCCCCCTCCCTCTTCAGATACTGCCTGCTCCACCCATTATACCTAATCTAAATTCCCCTTATGGAGACCCTGTTATTTACACAGAGCCAATTCTCTTAGGAATACAGAATCCTCCTATTTCTACAGCCAAAAACAAATTCGATGTTCTGGCTGACAATGACCCTCCTGATCATATTCCTTATGAGACTCACGATCCTAACCCTGCAACTGATCTGCCTGTTCATAATGTTAGCACCCCTCCACATACCTCACCTAGAAGTCATCAACCACAAATTCCTACAAACACAGATCAACCATCCTCTAGTTCCAATTCCACAAAAACCCAACAATCTACCCAGCAAAATCAAAAACCAACCCGTGGCAAAAATGCCAATAAAACCTCCACCTCCAAATGTCATTAAAGCCACCTAAGCTTGCGGCCTGGAACCTTAGAGGGTTTAACAACCCTGCTAAGGTGAGCTGCTGTAAAATTTTTGTCAAAAGCCACAGCATTGATCTCCTTTTCATTCTGGAAGCCAAAACCACTTCTACCAACCTTTCTAACCATTGGTTTCAAAACCAGCATAGAATTTTTCCCAATGAGAATTCTTGTGAAAACTTTCAATACTCTTCTCCTGGCCGTATTTGGGCTAAATGGAACGCTGGATCTATAAATTTTGCCCCTCAGATTATGACTAGCCAACTTGTTTATGGTATTATTCAGCTTGACTTGGACAATATAGTTGCTGTCACTGCTGTTTACGCTAGCAACTCACATACTGAAAGGCAAACTCTCTGGTCGGATCTGCAATCTATTGCTTTATCCATTAATATCCCTTGGGCTATTATTGGAGATTTTAATTGTTGCAGATTTCCTAATGAAAAAGCGGGGGGATCTCCTCTGTCTAGCAACAATTTGGGTGACTTCAACAGCATGATTTTCAAAATCGGATTGATCGACCTTGCTTCTGTGGGTCATTTTTTTACTTGGTTTAACCAACAAAGTAACAATCCAATCCATATCAAGCTTGACAGAGTTTTAGTCAATGATTTTTGGCTTACTACCTTCCCCAATTTGTATTATTTTGTTGGTGATCCCAGCTGCTCTGATCACTCCCCTTTACTTATTATGAACTCCATGGATTTTGTGAGAGGTCATAGATTTTTATTCAAGAACTATTGCACTAGAATTCCTGAATTCTAGGATTGCTTATTGGATACTTTCTCTCAGCCGATTAGCAGCAGCCCTCTTTCTCTCAGCCGATTAGCAGCAGCCCTCTTTCTGATTTTGCTTTTAAGTTGAAAAGCCTAAAATACAAGATTAATAATAAGAATTGGACCAATTCTAATAATATCCAGAAGGAAATTAACCTTTTGGCTGAGCAGCAAGCTAAAGTATTGGGACAAATCCATAATAGCCCTCTTGATACGACCCTCAATAACAATCTTAAGAGCATCAATTCCAAACTTCTTTATTACCAAACCACTTTATCTGATTGGATTTTGCAACGTGGCAAGGTAAATTGGCTAACGCAAGGAGAGGATGATCTTAAGTTCTTATACCATAAGATTAATGCTGACAAGAATTACAGTCGCATCAAGGAAATTACTATTGATTTGGGTAGCTTTACTGATCATCATAATATTTCTTTGGCTTTCATAAATCATTTCACTAAGCTTTTCAATCCCACCATGCCCACTGCTCAACCTCATTTTTTTCCGGCTGGTAATGTTATTCCAAATCACCTTCTCTCCACGCTCACTGCCCCTGTTACTAAGGAGGAAATTAAAAACATTATTTTCTCTGGGAAGAAAAATGCTGCACCTGGACCGGATGGTT